TGATTTTGCTTGATATTGAAAATGGCCTGATTCAGATCGAAATGTCTGTTTATTCTTTATTATAGTCGTTATTATAAGTTCTAGCATTAATTATCTTGGCTCGTAGCCTATTATTATTATACTAACACTATGGAGTAATAATTAAAAAATGGAGCTTCTAATCACAATTATTTTATCATGCGATTATAGTCACAAATGCTGAATTTTTCTCTCAGCGTAACGTCGGTGAAAATGCGAGTGAGAACAGTACGTCTAATCCGCGAAATACAGTCTCGTTCACCGCACATAATAAAATTCTTTTAAAACTCACGGAAGAACTACTTACAGATTCTAAATTTTTAATACCGTACATTTTTATGATAAAGTTAAATAAAATTTCTTTTAAACCATAAAATCTAAAGATTAACCAAGGGGAGAAAGGCCTTACTATCCATCTCTTGAATCTTAACTTACGAAAACTAAACTTTTTCATCTGCAATGTTAAATATCTTTCTGATTACACAACTTTCATCAAATCTTCATCAAGCTAAAATCGATCCCGCGTATTACGCAGTTGCGATAAATGTGGGACAGGCTTTACATAAAGTCCACGGAATCCGAGCAAAATCATATTACATTCAGACTTCAACTTTGCTCGTCGCACATTAAATCCCGCATATACGTTCGACTGAACATCGCTGCTCTTAATTGCAGGATTTAATCAACACGTGGACTTTTCTTTACCGCGAATTGTCAAACGCGTTTGAGGACAAAGGCGCGGTGATATCGAAAAGTACGAAGAGAAGTCACTGGAGAGAAAGAGGGAAGAAGAAAGAGGAGACGAGAGAAAGAGAGAAAGAGAGGTTTGCGAAAAGAAAAAGCACGAAGAAGAGGCGGATCGCGCGGTTTTCATCCGCGAAAATTAAGGCAGAATCTGCCGGTAGTAAGAAAGTCCGTGCTAATTAAGGCTGTTTCTTCAGAGATTCCCCTTTCGCGGCCAGCCCCCTCGGCCTCGGCTTTTAAATAAATTATACCGAGTTAAAAGCCTCTTCGCACTTCCTCAGATAATCCGCGGGGCCGTTTCGCTCACCAAAGTTATACCCACGGGAGAAATCTCGCGCCTCTGTGGAAAAGGACGAGCGCTCTTTCCCAGCTTATAGGGGTACGAGTTGCGGAGCCATAATGCGCCGAGTGATCTAACGAGGGAATACTTTCTGCTACAATTACGTTATAAAGCAAACAAGAATGCTCATCCTCAGCCATTCTCATCGCACGGTTCTTTACAAAAATGCGATTAGCCCGCCGAGCCAAATTCAATTATCTCCCGCGTGGCGATCAGCGACGCTTGCGCTAATCTCTTTTTACTCGATAAATCGCTATCCATAAATGGATTTATTGGAAATGATTACCCGATAATAACCGGCCGCGCGCGCGTCCAGGATACGTTTCTACACGGAAAGAACGATTTTGCTGAATATCTAAAAATTTAATAGGTATAGAGCTGAAAATAATTTTATTTTAGATTACCGAAATAGTTATATAGAAAATTCAAGCATGATTCGTAATGCTGCATAAAATTTTGATTCTAACCAGCTTGAGCGTTCTAATTTTTATTTTAATTAAAATTTTTAGATTTATTTCTAATTAAATAAAAAATTAAATCCTGATGAAAAGAATTTTTTCACGTAATGTACTTGTGATGTGGTGAACAAAAATGACACAAAGTTCAATAATAGATAATATGTAGTTTTTGATCTATGATGTATCAAAAATGTAATAAAGATGTAATAAAACTTGTACAATTTTCATTAAAAATAATGCAATGTCTACTAATTCTATGATAAATTAAGCTCTGGTAAAATAAGTTAATTAAGCTACATCACATATGATTATATCTCAATCAGAAATCATAATAATATCACAAGGATATCATCATGACCTTATTTGTCATTTATAAGCTATTTTAGGTATTAAATGACATTATGATGGCATTCTATATCATTATGACTATATTATGATTCTGTGTTCTATTTGGGATGGTGAACAAATTATTATACATTATAGACACGTTCAAATTATAGACAAAATTCAATGAATATCTGAGTGACACGTTGTTGTACACTGACGTGTGTTTGAAAATGTATGATTTTATTTGATTTTAATACATCCACTTTTCTTGATATGTCTAACAATGTTTCACTTCATGTTCCGTGATGATTAACATCGCTATCAATTTGCAAGTGACTTAAGCATTATGGACATAATTATACTTGGAGCTAATTATACTTGTATAATCATTGTTGAGGACTCCAAAGAGAGTCGAAACGTTCAAATATAGAAGACTTCAATCCAACACCTGAGTATTGATTGTTCACTAAATAATGCGCCGTTTATCGTTGCTGACTCTAATTAACCTACTTTATTTATATTTTTATATTGTTTAAAATTTGAATCCTAATATAATTATTGTTATTCAATAACGGATATTTTTTTAGCTGATGTATCAAAGATGTAAAACTTGTGCAATTTTCCATATAATTAATACGGGATTTTGATATAATATTTCTGCAAAAAAACCGTTCTTTCCGTAAAAGATAAAATTTTATACGTGTAATTTGATACATTATTGAAAAAACTATTGTGTGAAAGAAATATTTAAGGTCTCGATGGTCTAAAGGCTTAGGACGCTCGCACGGTATGCAAGAGATTCGGGTTGAAGTCCCGGCCGACGTAATATTTTTCGCAATAAATTTATTAACAGTTTTAATATACTAACATCTTTATAATATATGATGCTTGATAGTAGCATCAAATTATTAAATTGCTTGTCAATTTAATTCGCGATTACTAGAGTAGTTTTAATTGCGTTTATTTAGTCCGGAAAAACAATTCGGCGCGCAGTTTGTGTGTGTGTGTGTGTGTGGAAAAGACTACAATATGGTATATATGCAAGTACATATATAGTATATATTAGTAATTCAAGATTGAATTATTTTAAAAAGCAACGAAGATCCAGCTTCGACCGTGATAGACATTTAAATTGCTAGTATTGATTGTTTCTCACATATACGGTCTAAAAATAAAAATATTGAAAGAAATATGTTAAATGACAATTATGAAATACCAATGTATCGCAGAAAATGAAAACCCTACAGCCTAAGAAACATTAGTTAAGAATAGTCATAAGTATCCCGGTCGGGTTTTAAGGATTTCGAATTCTTCGTCTTTTGTGGGTAAGGTGTTGTCGAATGACAGCGAGTCATCGTTAACGCCATTGTTCTCACGGTACTTCCGGCGCGTTAAGAACGTCCCGAAGCGCTTTCAAGTTAAGTAGATGTTTCTCGGTACGTCGAGTGCATTTTTAAATAATTCGATGCAAAGCAGCCGAGAAAAGGCCGCGAATTCCCTTCCGAGAGGTCCCGTGAATGACGGGGAGGAGGTGCACGGGGGGTACGGGGAAAGAACGAATGGAATTTCCGTGGGATTCACTCCTCCTCGCGGCAGACGTGGCTGGAAAGCGCGAGCGATTCGGAGCGACTTTTACAACTTAATTTTTGCGTATTTGCGAGCTGCGACGACGGCGGGTTGCCGGCTTTTGCGGGAGAAAAGTAAATTTTCCGACACGTTTGCTCGCGCACATGGCGCCGCGTTCGTAAGCAGCAACGTGTCGCCGCTACGGATTTGCGTCAGAATTTTATTAATTTGCTACTCGCCAATTCTATGTTTCACGAAGAAAAATGAAGATAGGTTTAATCAGTTTATTAAATTAATTTATTAACTATTCAATAAAAGCATCTCAAATTGAAGACTCGCGATCAATAATAATATTCCTCAGGAGATAAATTTCAATTTGATCAAAAAATTCGCTTCCCAAAGGAAAAGATGCCCAACAATTTCATATCAGAAATGCTTGCGCTTTATCGATACACGAAGCAATGTCATTTCTTTTCTTTTATAACTTATTACGCTTATTTCAATCTTACGTTTTCCGAGATATTATATTACACCTCCTTCCCACGTTATCTAAATGTAGAAAGGTTTCTACGAGCTGACTATCAAGTAGTGAAGATAAATGCTAACTCCGACCATAAGATATTACTCGATGGGTATATCATAGTAGTTACACTTACAAACCAACATCTCTGTCATTATAAATTTATATTTTATTGTATAGCGATAAAATGTAACATAAAAAGAACAAAAATCAAACTTTTTTTAAAAATATAATCAAGCACATAATTTTTAAGATATTATCCAAGCAGAACAACAGGTCACGATAACGTTGTTTAGACATTTAAAAAAATTATAACTAATGAAAAAATGACTTTTGATAATCATTTTGGAGCCATTTTGATAACATGGTGACTTTTATGTTCTGCTTGGATATATCCCGATTAAAAATAATATATATCTACGAACAGTTCGCATATAATAATCCGAACGTTAACAAACTGCTAACTAATTTGTCTTTCGCGTCAATTCTATAATAAATCCCACAAATTGCAAATCAGATTGCTTGTACAGGTTACTATATAAGACGGTGCGGTTCCGAATGGGAGCTGACTATCAAGTAGCAGGGATGGATGCCAGGGCGGACGGTATTAACCACTCCACCTATTGGTATTGGCACGTACACGCGGAGAAAATATTGCCGAGTCGAGAATTCGCGAATAAATCTAAATAACCTTCGTATCGGGATACCGTAGTCTTTCGTATCTCTCTATCCCACGTATTTATTAAAAACAGCAATGCTGAGATGATTTTTCTCGTTCTAACGGATATATACCATATTTTATTTTTTATCACCGAATAAAAGAGAGGAGCTCGGAAAAGACTTTCATTTATTCTTCAACATTAAAATATCTAAATATAAAATACTGGACAGATTTTTTATACATATTACGTAAATCGGTGTCAAAAACTTGACAATAGCGTAATTCAAGAACCGTTATTTGTATTTCGATTTACAAATATATTTATTAAAATTTATTGGAAATTATATTAATTTTTTACTTCGCGCGAAATATTTTATTTAGCCTTCGATCGCGAATCAATCGTTGCGCACTCTCAAAAATATTAGGATAATTTGTATGTAGTATCACTCATTATTTAGCAACATAAATTTGCAAGTAAAAATATGTAAGTAATAAAAATTCGGTCTATCGTATTTAAATATGTGCAACTTTTTGCGGAACAGAAAACTATAAAAAATTGCTAAAATGCACCTTCCTCTTCATTGTAATTTAATTATTTTTTATTCATATATTACCTTTCATTTCTCTATACGCACCGGACAGGATCGAAGCAATGCACGAATACATCGCCAGGCAAACCGCAGCGATACAAAAAAAACGAATAATTCCGGAAGTAAGAGTCCGTTTTATCTACGTCCGCCGCGTTTCGTCAATCCAGATCCAGCATTTCTCCGGACGTGAAACTATCCCCGCGATCATCCTTCTGACTTCTATCAATGTGACCGTCGGGCGACAAATCTTTACCGGCGAGGCGATTACCGAAATTCAGAAAATCCGAACAGGGACTGCCAGCCTGCGTAGGTTCGAAAAAGGTTCTCTTTATCGTCGCTCTTATAATAATTATTTTCGAAAGTGTTTACTTGAAGCAAAAAGTTGTCCGCGTCATTTTCTATCGGCGGGGGGGGGGGGGG